AAATTGAACAGAAGTCAGCAAGAAGTTCAAACTAAATAGATTGAAAAGTAGTTTTATTTTCTTTCAACGATATTGACTTACTTGAGATTTAACAGTTGTTCGAAAATATATCACTAATAGTGAACTAGCATACGAGAAATAAAGTGCTTGAATCCATTATTTGCTTACATAGATACTCGAACATACTGAATGAAAAGAGATCGTGTTTGATACAAATATTTCGTATGGCACAGCAATTGTTGAACAAGGACAATAAAGTGTATCAGCATGTTCGATAGAGAGTTGATTGAAAAGTTTTGGAGTTATATTAGTGACAGTGATCAATCGATCTTGCGGACTGACAAAAGCAGTGAAAGTAAGAATGTATAAGATGACTAAAAAGTAGTAGAAACATCACAAGTAAATCGTTATATTTATGAAACTTACTGATGAGAAGAGGAATATATAATCGAGTTGTATATAATTGATGTTTAAGAGTAAGTGCAGGATCTCTGACTTTATCATTGTCATCATCATCAAGTATGAAAACATTATAATGATAGATATATTCAAGTAACCGAATAGGTAAACTTTTCTTATTCATGAATCAGAACTTATTGATAGTATGAGAATGAATAAAGAGAAGATTCATTTGTAAATACATCTGCAAAGAAATAAAAGAAACTATTGCCTTTTTCTTAAAAGCTCTACCATGTGAACTAGTTTAAATGATAGCACTATTTATTTTCTCTCTCCTTCGATGAGAAATTGTAAAGAAAAAAAATTAACGAGTAAAAATGTAATCAAAATCAGTGAGTAAAATGCATATTTAATTGTTTCATAAAGTAGAAAATCATGACAAAACAATAAATAATGAGTATTGCAATGAAGTGAAAAGAAAAACTCTTTAAAATCTTCCAAATAGTTTTATTTTAATTACAAAAAAAGAAAGAAATAGAATATTTTGATAATTAGTCAAAAAATAAGATACTGAAAATGATATACATCAATTAGATACACGACAATTAAATTTTGGATTTAAGAATTAAGATGTGAATATAATTCTCTTTATTTCATATTTATACGTATACATGATTATTTTCTTGTTTATCATTATATTTAATTTAATTTATCAAGAAAATTTTTCTTAAACTATATCAATCATTATTTGTTAATATATATAAATGTAAAAGAAAATATTTTATATCGTTGCTTACTTCCTTCAGAAATGTAATGTCTTTTATACTTTGTATTTCCTGTTTCATTATATTTATAAACGGAGAAGAACAAGAAGAAAAACTATATAAATGTGTCTTTAATGATTTAAATATTTTTCTGTTAATCAATTTTTAACATTATTTTAATAAATATAAAGAATATGGAACTTGTTTATGGAGAAACTAATATTTGAAACAGTTAACGATAATCTGACATAGTTTGAGAAAATCTGTTTGTTATATTCTAAGATTTTAAGACTGATGTATTTATAATAACAAAATCAGATGATTTAATTAATTTAAATATAAATATTTTATGAAGAATGTAGGTTAATAGGAAAAGTTAAAAAAGTACTAAAATACTCGCAGTGTTTTACTCAGTAGCCAATCTCAGGTTGCATTCCTGTTCTTATACGATCTCGAAAATATAGCATACAAAACTGTCCTCTACAATGATTCATTTCAAATATTCTATCAGATTTTTACATTATAGAGTTGCTACTATGACCATCCATTTAAACTCCAAAGAAGCATTAGGCTATCATGAACTCAAATAATTACTTCTAGCGATCTATATCATTATGATATTATCATAAAAACAGATAGGTTAGGCTTACTAAATCACGGCTTGCTTGGATCTCTGATAAAGAACGAGAGAAGAAAAGATACTGGTTCTTTCGTTTAACAGCAGCTGTTCGATAGTCACATCCACACCCTCAATCTTTCAAATGTTGAGTTTTAGTATTGGTTTAGAATGAATACAATATTCACACCCACATCCACATCCTCAAGATGGATTCTCACCCTCACCCTCACATTATAAAAGAAGTTCTTTATATGTGAACAATTTAAATGAATTGAACAATTTATTCGTTTTCTTCAATAGTTCATGTATACATACAGAGTATTCTGATTGTCACATTTTTCTTTTGTAATAATTAATTGTTCATTTACCATTCATTTTACTCAATTTATTTATTTCAGCTTTTGTTTCTCAACGTATTGTTCTTCTTCTTTATTGACTATTATGTCTTACGTTTCCTATTTCTTGCACTAACGATCTATATATAGATCCATTTACAAAACTAAAATCATATATACTTAATTCTAACAAACAAAATTTCTATCATCAAATAACATTTCGCTTTCTTTCAGATTAATCCATTCTTACCTTACACAAATCCATAAAAAAAGATTAAATGAAAATACAATACGAAAATTAATCACCGCGCAATCATCGTTGCAAAATACAAACAAAATCGAACTATTGTCGAAGCTAACATGCCTATCATGAATGTGAAAGCCGATAATATCCTATCGAAATCGTCCATGCAACAAATCTACTACTATCAAACATCTCTATCCCTTTAAAATCATACTCAAATTTTACATCAAATGGATTGTTCCAATATCTTTCTATTCTTTATTAAGCCATTTGAAAAGACCTTTGAGCAAGGTCGAAACATGTCATGGTAGTTCTCCTCACCCTCATCCCAAATATATGCTTTTTATGTTTATGATATTTTATTAGTGATTAATATGAAGGAATAAAAAGAGTTTTGTATGTATTTTTTACTTAAAATTTTACCTGTATTAAGTTCATTCATCAATATTGTCGATCTATTTCTGTACAATCACGATCTTAGGCAATATTTGATAAAAAAAATTTTGAAATGTTTGCATTCAAATCGAGAGTGTGGATGTAGGTGAAAGTCTTTTTTCTTATGTTAATAAAATTGTTCTATACAATGCTCGTATTAATTTCCATAATCAATATAAATCATGCGATAGGCAAATGAGTTTTTTCTTCCATTACAAATTCTCTTCTATCAAAATTGCAATTGTTCAAAAGGATAATCAAAAATGCTTGTTTCTGAAAAGTAACAACAAGATCCAATTTCTTATCGTTATTAAAATCACCTTTAGCGATTGAAAGTGGTGCACCACCAACGGTAAATGTTATTTGACTGGTAAAAGTTCCGTTTTGACTACCGAATAATATATTAATACTACTACCGACATAATTATTAATAACAAGATCTAATTGACCATCATTATCAAAATCACCTGTAATAAGATAACGTGAAGAACCTAATATTCCAGTTTTATATGTCATTCGTGTTCCGAAAGTTCCATCATTATTTCCAAACATAACAGCTATATTATTGTTCAAAAAATTGACCATACTAATATCCAAGTGATTATCATTGTTAAAATCTGCTGTAATAATTGACCATGCAAAGTTAAAAGTTTCAGTTGGAACCATCATTGATAAATCAAACTGTTCATTTCCAGTATTTAGTAAAATACAAAGATAATTTGCTGAAGAAGTCACTGCAAGATCCATTTGATTATCATTATTAAAATCACCAGTAGCAAATGAAGTTGGACGACTACAGAAATTATTGTAAAATGATGTTTCAATGACAAATGTTCCATCACCCACCCCTAATAATAAAACAATTTGATCATCGGAATAATATGTAGTAACAATATCTACATGACCATCATTATTAAAATCATTCGAAATAAATGAAAATGATTGACCAGGATTTTCATTTAAAAATGTTTTCAATTCTCCAAAATTTCCAGTTCCATCACCAAGTAGAATACCTATTTTGTATAATCCATTATTGGTGAAGGCGAAATCTAAACGACCATCACCATCAAAATCGTCAACAATAATCATATATGGATGATTTCCATCGTCAAATGAAAATATATATGATACTTGAAAAGATCCATCATTATAGTTTAGCACAACATTTATATTCTCACGATCACATGTATAATGCACGATATCTGCACAATTATCACTATTAAAATCACCGACAGCAATGAAACTAGAACGTGAGTAAGAATAACAAATTTCGAATGCATTGATTTTTATCATTTCAAACATTAATTGTGAAGTTGATACTAAATAAAATTAAAATTAAAATCTTTTCAATATTTCATGAAATTATACAAACTTGTTGAAGTAGAAACTGATGTTATAGAAACATCAGTATTGATTGTTGTATTTTTCAAAGTTGTTGATAAAACTAAAAGAAATAAAATTTAATTCTTAGTCAGAATTTTTAATATAAATATCTGAATTGTAATAAAAATAATCAGGTAATAGAAGATCATACTTGTCTGTATTGCTTCATTTTTCTTGTGTTGTTTAAGATAAACAAATGGGATGATGATCATGACAATCAGTATCATGATTAGAATTTTTATTATGATAATACACAATAATTTTGAGAATGAAAATATCCTAAAAAAGATCATAAGAGATTTTAATAGGACATAAAAGAAAGAAAGTATACGAAGGTGATGATATTGTAATCATTGTTTTTGAATTAACATCAGCAACTTGAGCATCTGTAGACATTACTGTTATATTAACATTTTCAGTAGTATTCATTTCTAGAACGTTTGTAGATTGGATAGTATTTGTTCTCTTTTTACGAAATTGATTTAGTTTGAATAAGTAATAAATTATTTTTGGACAGATCCATTTCAAGATGAATGACAAGCCACCAGAAAATCCAAGTGAAACAGTGACTGTGTAAAGTGAATTAAACTGTTGAACATAAGTATAGGAGCAAAATGTTGGTAAACATTGATCAAAGTAGGCTGAATAATTGATTGTTGTTGCCCACCGTTCGACGAATAAATCATTGATTAAATCCATCATAGTTGTATTCATTAAAAATCGACTATCAGCAATAGAAAGTGGTTCAGAAGCATTTACGATATCATGTTCATCGAAAATGGACGTATGATATTGAATTAGATTAATACACGATAAATCATAGAAACATTCCAGAGTCGAAGATAAAAATGATTCACTTGATGTACATCCCATTTTCAAACCTGTGATTTGAAATATTTCAGATGAATTTCTTTGAACAAAACCAGCTTGAGTGGTACAATTTGAATACAGTGCACATGAACATCCATCGTCGTAAGTTATTGCTTGAGTGATTGCTAGTTGATCACTATATGAATCATACCAAGGAGCAGCAACGTATTTAAAATTTGTTTCATAAGCTGAAACAATCGCATTACCATGGTTTGTCGTTCGAAGCAAGAAAAGAAAACGAGAGAACATTAAAGGAGCATTCATTTTACTTTGATTAATAAGTGAATAAATCATTTGATCAAAAGTTATTGGTGGAACAAGTTGAACAGTGACAAAAAATGAAGACAGAAGCTGATTAATAGAACTATTTACTGATTGAATAGAAAGTTGACATAATCCAGTGAGAAATTGTAAATGTGATGATAGAAAACGACGATAATCTCCAGTAGTATAGATAGATAAATCAGGAACAAGATCTTTTGTCACATTTATTCGCCATTCATCCGATGCAAATGGACTCAAACAAATCTATTTTTTTAAAAGAAATCTGAATTTTTTTAAATACTATTTGATTATTTTTTCTAACTTACCGGATGAAATATTGGCTCAATGTTGATAAAAGCATCGTAAACTGAAGTAATCGATGAACAAGGACATTGAAGTGTATTTCCATGTTTAATCACGAGACTTTTGTAAGTAGTGAGAGATGGTTTCATAAATGTTTTGGTTAGAGTTTGAGGATTGACAATATTGTAGAGAATGAAAATGTTCAAACCAATAATTAAAAGTATTATATAGAAACGAGTAGTTATTTTACCAAGTTTCACTGATATTGCGCGGTGCGTATTACTTCCAAAAACTCTTATAGGAAAAGTATTCAAATTAACAAGAGTTGTATACATAAGTATGGCCACTTTTCGTATTAATATTTTGATCCGATCGTAGATCTTCATAGGAACTAAAAGGAAAAGATTTAAGCTATGTTTTTTTTAAATATTTAGTATAAAAAACTTTGTATAACTTTTATCAATAATTTATAATAGCTGATAAGTAATTACCTTCTGGTTCTGTATTAACCTGTGGTGATATCAATCGCAATATAATTCTCACAATTTGAGGTGTTATCAGACGCAAAGCAACAGTAAGACCACCTAACATAGATATCATTTGTATTATTATTCCTAGAAGATCATAAGTATGTGTTGTATAACTATAAGTACAATAATTTGGTGAACAAGCTTCATAATGTTGTTCGAATGAACATGAAAAATTCCACTGTTCAACCATCATTTCTCTAACTATCACTGAAAGAGATGTTTCAGGTGGAAAACGACTTGATGTATTGTCATAAACTAAAGGATGAACCGCAGACCAATCATATATATTATATAATAAGCGTGTCCAAATGATATAATAATAATAGATTAATAAACACGTTTCGTCATAAAAGCATTCTAGAGTTGAGAGTTGAAGAGAATCCAGCATAAAACATCCTGCAATATAACCTGGCACTAAATAAGGTGTAGTTAAATCTTGATCACCGTTCGGTAGTAAGGCCCACTTATATAAAACAACTGAACTTTGACAACGAGGATTAGTAGCACAAATACAATCGATGGATGTAGAGTTTATATCTATCGGACCAGTGAAACTAAACTTTAGCTAAAGAAACAAAAAAAATATTTATTTCTGTTTCAAATAATAAAAATTTATGCACGACAATTTGTAGATGTAAATTATTTTCTATTTTTTAAAAATAATGATTAGCTATAGTAGTACCAAGTGAGTCATTTTTGACCCGTTGATAATCAATTAAATCATACAATGAAATTTTTCTTGCCTTCTATTTTTTATAAACAGGGCGTTCAGTGAGGATCGAGACGTGGGTTAGGGTATGGGTGAGTGTGAGGTGTATGTGGGTGAAGAAGATCTATTGACACGAAGCGGTAATGGCTAGTTCAGGCTTTGGAAAAAATAAAGAGCTATTTTAAGATTAGAGGAACAGTTTTGAGATAGGACTTATGCTGATGTAGACACGTGTTTGTGGAGGTCATTGAGAGTCATGTGGAACGAAAAACAGAGCTTGGTACTACTAGGATTAATAAAAGAAGAATACCTCTGGTGGAGATTGATTACTTGTTTCATCTGACGGTGTTATAGGAAGAAGTTCTGCATTTTTCGAATTTGTATAAGGTTGATCTACTCTTGTAAAAAGATGTACCATATCAGTAAGAAGATTAAATTCAGTAATTAATGATTGTTTAAATTGTTTAAAAGTTGTATTGAACTTAGCATTAAATTCTGATTCACTGATAACATACTGAGTAACAAATGATTTTGTTAGAAACTGTCGAACGGCATCATCAATTGTTCTATTAGCCAATTGACAAATACTAGACAATAATTTAAAATATCGACTACCAAAACCATCCAAACCAGCATCAAGTTTCGTATTGTAGACAGGTTGATCATTTAATAAAGTCATCGTTGAAATCCAAGATTCGCTGATAAAACCACTTGAACATATTTGATGTAAAGTTAGAGATAATGTAATAAATATATCATAAGATATTGATATCTTCTTACAAGGACATTTAAGTGAATCTGAATACAATTGATGAAGAAGTCTATATGTAACTAATGAAGGATTTGATTGAGTAATTATTGTCATTTGAACACTGAGTGAAGTAAATAAAATAAGAATAGAAATTGAACCTAAAAAATGACATAAAAGAGAAAATAAAGTAATAGTTATGTTAGTATATGTAAACTTGAGAATGAACAGAAAAGAAAATTATAACGATATTCAGTGTGATTTACAATGTTAATCCAAACATTTTCAAACAATCGATAGAAATTCAATCAATAGTCATTAATTGAACAATAGAATGAAAATCTAATCTTCCATTTTATTCTACAAAAATTATACCTCCAAGTAAAATCAAATAAACACGCGTGATAATACGTTGTTGTTTGATATCATTGACTGTTCTGTTTTTGGATGATTTGAACAGATTCAATTGCTTTATCCATTGAACGAAATGCTGATGAACTGTTCTATAATATCCTACAAATAAAAAGACAAAGTCTATTATAAAAGTTAACGTTTTTTATTATATTCAAAATAAATACCAATATTAATATTATTATTATTATTTATTGAATAACGTTTCAATTTCATCCAAACATAGATTAAGAATAATGCAGTCGAACGAAGAATAATACAGAGACCACCATAGATACTCAAGAAGAGACTAATCGTATAAAATAAACTTATTTGATCTGTTTCTGTATATGTACAAGATACAGGAGCACATTGAATAAAATATTTCGAATAACTAATATTAGTTGACCATTCTTCAACAAATAATTTTGGTAAAATATTTTTTAAAGATTGATTTTTTAGACTTGAGACTGAAAGTGAATTAGTCCAAGCAAGATCCGTCTGAATAACAAAAAAAAGATTTTATAAGATAAATAAAAAATGATTATTCAAATACATACTGAACTGAGTTGTGGAAAATAATCGACAAGCATTTCAAGACAGCTTTGGTTATAAAGACAATCAAATGTACTTGCAAGAACAGCATCAAGGGGTGTGCAACCACCAAAAAAACCATCAATCATTGAAGAAATAGTAATATTTTTATGAGCAGGAGAAAAATAAGGCCAAATTTCATAAATGAAAGCGTTCGGGAAAGTATTGTCAGTGAGTGTTAAAGAAAAGAAACCAGCCGGTGTAACAGAACTAGTTAGTTCACAAGACGAAGACTGAACAGCTGATATATTAAAATCATTAGGGTCTGGCGAATAATATGTAGGTGTAACATAAAATTCGCCAGTGGAGGCAAAAAGTGCTGTTAAACGGATATAAACCGCAAAATTTGTTTTAAGAGCAGAAATAAAAAAAATCGATTGAGTTGTTACATGAAGAAAGTCTAATGGTCTGATCAACTGAGACGGTGTACTACTCTGAATAATTTCGATATTTCCAGATATTTCAGATTGAATTTCATTTTCCGAAAGAAGTTGGATGGTTATAAGTTGACTATTATCAATATCAGTTAGAGCTTGAGAAATAAGAGTTTTCGACAACGAGCAAAAAGCAGCAAGAAACTTAAACTAAATGAAAAGACAGATAAAAGTGTATTTTAATAACAATTAACTTACTTGAGAACTTGCAGTTGTTCGAAAGTCCATCACTAAATATGAACTTGCATATGGATCATAAAGTGCTTTGATCCATTCTTCACTAACAAAAACGCTTGTACATATTGGATGGTATACGATTGTATTAGAAACAAAGGTTTTATATGAAATACTGGTGGATGTACATGGACATGATAGAGTTTCGGGATGTTCAAGACGAAGTTGATTATATAAAGATGGAGTAATATTTGAGAGAGTAATTGCTCGAGTTTGTGGATTCATCAAGTTAAGGATGAAGACAATGTAAATAGTTACTAAAGATTAAAAAAGAAAGAATAGATCAGAAACGAAGATTATTCTTGTTGATGATTTTAAATTATTAGATTTTCAATAACTTTTTATATGTTGTCATAAATAGAGTTAATCAACTTACTAATAAGAAGAAGAACATATAACCGCGTAGCATATCGCTGATGTTTGATAACTATTGTTGGATCTGTTGGTTCATCATTGTCTTCATGATATTCTTCTTCATCGGGCATAAAAAGATTGTAATGACTTATTTTTGTATAAAACCATTCGAAAATATCTTTGATTTTCATTGTGACGATCAAATCATATAAATAAATTCACTAATATTTGTCTACCTTACAATAAATATCTATAATATTTATATAACAATTATATGATTTAAAAGAATATGGGTGGATAAGAGTGAAGAATTCATTCTCAACTGACACTCACATCCTATCGTCAGAAGAGTTTTTATGAGAGGATGCAAAATCTATTAATGATAAAATTAATCCTACACTTGGTTTTCTCTCTACAGTATAGAATTTAAAGCTAGAAGTAATCTTCTTGAGTATATACAAAGATACAACTTGTTGATCTATTTTATGAGTTTTTTCTAATACATACTTGAATAACATTTAATGATAAGCCGTTTAAAGCTTTAACAAGAGATTTACGAGGCCGATAACATTGTCTCATGCGTTCGGTAGTGTTGAAGTGTTTGAGTGATAATAATTCAGCGACAGTAATTGATCTGTTTTGTTGTAAAGTTCGATTAGTATTATATCTATCTGTAGAATTTACATCATTATGGTGATGATAATAATCAATGACGCCGTCTAAGAAAATTTCTTCTAACTATAAATTCTACAGTTTAGATAAAAAATCAAGTGTAGGTTTCATTTTATCGTTAGTAGTAGAATATAAACATTAAAACTGCTATCCCCTTTTTGAAATTACTTATTAATTGGTAAAAGAAAACATAAAGAATTGATGTGAGAAAGTATTCAGTGAAAGAATCGTCAGTAACAATTAACTTACGTAGATAGGCATATGCTTTGAAATAAAAAGTAATTTCAAATATTCTGAATAGACTAGGCAAAGATAAACTGACGTAGATATAGGAGAAAGAAGCAAGACTGTTTCTTTTTATGTTATATGCAAGTGTCGTTAGGTAGAAATATAAAAGGTAATATATATAATATCTAGTAGAGTAAAAACATGATTCTAACAGAAAATCCTGACTTATTCTCTATTATAATATCATTTGGAGTGTTGTTGAATATTTCAATATTTAATGATAGAAAAACTCATTTTGTTCAAAGGAAATGAGAATTATAATGGAAAATTGAAGATGTTTATATTATTTCAAGGAAAAAGAATAATAATAATAAGTGCATTACAGTTTAAACAGTACGTGGATAAAGATATCTTTAGTCCTCCTTTACGTCTTGCGGGTGTGAGTGTAAAAAAAAACACATTCTCACCCACACACACCCTCAAGATTAAGAAAGCTTCCACCCTACATTTTGCTATATTTTTATTCTATTTCTATATAAATAAGAAACGAATGAGTTCTTCTTGTAATAAAGAAATATTATTTATATAAAGTTAATTAATTTCAAATACTTCAATCTGATGAATATAATATTTATCTATTTAAAATCGACGAAGAATACACAAAACAGCATTGAACAAGTTAGAACGATTGACATGAATAATTTATGCACTCTGATAGTTATTAGCGTGATTAGAATGTTGACGAATTTTTTTTTGATATTATCAGATTTTAACAGAAATTAATGGCTGGATGTGTGTGTGTCAGAGCCATAAAAGTATATAATGTAAAAAAATACATAGTACGGCATAAAACATAACCAAAGAGTTTTTTTTCGATACGGAGAACTCGAATCTGAGATCTATTTAATCAAATAAATTATGACGGAACATACCCAGATGATTAAACGTTTTAGACCTCATCTTTTGGCCATGGATAGACTTCGATTAGCTATGAAAAGCCTCAGAAGGATTCATGCTCTCATGCCTTTACTCCCGAGAAATCCAATTTTTAAGATACATAAGAAATAAGCGAATAAAATGAAAAATTACTGTTTTTAAAGAAAAATAGAGTATTAGGATGAAAGAAGTCTTTTAATTTCGTATTCTTCTCGTGAAACCTGTTTTGAATTGAGAGTTACATCGAACCTCATCATTAGTATCTCCACTCATTGTTTATTAACCTATAGAGCACTGAAAATTCTTCATTTTATCGCTTTTATCACAATAAACCATAAAATAATGCATGATGAAAAAATGTTAGTGATACATTACTGATTATCTCACTCTGCATTTTCTTCGCTGACATATCATTATGATTTGGTGATGAACGTTATATCACATTCTTTCTTCCACGTTCAATTAATTTCATTCTCTTTCTTTTCTCTTTTGTGGGTAACTTATGCTATCTAGTCGTTTTTCTCTTCATTCCATCTTGTATACAATATACAAGTGAGATACGAACAAGCAGTTTATATCAGATTTTCTGGTAACTACTTCAAAATGATTAGTCGAGCAAATGCCATAAAATTTTTCACAAATCAAAGCATCCAACTTATTTTTGTCTGATGATTCGCACACTTCTGTCGCCACCAATACTATCACGAATCCTGAATGTGAAACAGGCAAGCTGCTGTGTGCTATACTTAAATCAGTTACCAATAGTCATTCACACTTCGTCGAAACAGAGACAACCCTCGATTATGAGTTGACTGACAATGAATTGATCAGTGATGTGGAGTGCGATGATGAAGACGAAGTTACGTACGGTCCTGATTGGACTGATGATGAAAAGAGTGAGGAGAATTTATACAAAGAATTTTCACTCCATTACATGACCAAGGCAGTTAATTTCTATGATGAGATTAATATAAGAACTGGGAAAACAAAGCGATGATGGGAAATAGTGAAACATAACTTTCGGTGTATTTCTGTTCGACTGTTGATTTTTAAAACTGCAAGAATACATCTGTTTAGTGTAAAAACATTCAATTTTGTAGTAACGTTGAGTAATAGATTTTTTTGTTTTTAAATTTTACACAAGAAACTTGAACAATAGTAATTAGTACACAATTAGTTAAATATAACAAAGAAGAAAAATAAATTACTTTTTAGTTTTCATTTCCTATATGAAAGACGCTAGATATTCCATTAACCACTTTAGTTTTTTCGCAGGAAAAGGTTGTCTAGTATATTCAGAGAGAAAGTTTATTTAGTATTTTCTCATCATAGTCCAGTAGCATTGAAGCATAAGATGGCTATAAAAACGAGTAAAAATTAAAAGTTACGATTCTATTTCTTCGACAACATTAAAAGTAACCGATTCTCATTTAGGAATTGTTTGATAGAATCTAACTTTGGTGGTATTTTCTTGACGAATATGTAAAAAGTGATTATTTAGTTTTCTGTGGCGAAAGGAATATTGAATTGATTGTGATTAGTATAGAAAGAGCTTTGGTTCCTAGTTTCTCATAACTCCAGTGTTTGTTTTCGTCAAAAAAAAGTAGAAAACACACGTTAGAAGTCAAATCAATAGTGATATCAGTTTGAGATTTGGCATGTCCTATCAAAAACTTTCATCGAAGAACTACAAAAGATGGTTTTGAAAAGAAAAACGAAAGTAATCATATAATATGTTGCTTTATTACACATTTCTAGTTGTTCAGCGACAGTTTTGAGGTTGAGGCCAATTTGAATAGTATCTTATATCTTGAGGGTGGTTGTGGGTGTGGGGTAGTGAGAGTGGGTGTGGGTGGGTGTGAGTGTGGGTGGAATGGGTGTGGGTTTGGCTATTTAGCTGACAGTCAAACCCACCCACCCACGCCCACACCCACACTCACCGACTCACACCCACCCCACACACACCCTTTGTGACAGCCACTTCGTATTTCTTCTCCATAACTAATATTTCTTTTTTCTAAGAATTATGTAATTCTTCGAAAATATGTATCCATAAATATGAACATGTCCTAATTTAAGTGCTACTTGTCTATACATAATATATCTCCAATAAATCATTCCGATGAAAGAAAACGACTAGTAAACATATATTCAACTCTATCATGTAACACTATTCTTACTTTCAATTTAGTCATATCAATTCATCAAAGAATCTCATAAAAGTTTTTTTTTCTACTTCTACATGTAGAAATAACACATTTATTAGCAAACTACGAAATATTAAATGTATAAACACAGAATAATCTAATCTTCTGTTAATAATTGAATAACATTTGAAATAGCATGATAACATAAAAGATTTTCTTTGTTTCGTTGTTGAGTTTTAACATCAAATAGAGCAGGTAATACATTACTACTACGAACAGCTACTTTGCCCTAGAAATTTAACGTAAAATTAAAATAAATCATTTGCATCTAAATTTGTACCTTTTGAGCATCAACAATTAGTGCCCACAAAGCTGTTAATCCAATATAAGCTGTATCTGATGTCTTTGAAACAACATGTGACATTATTGTTGGAACATATTTAGCTGAAATTAAGTAAAGTCTCAACATTTTCAAACTGAAAATATAAACACTTACATTCAGATACAATTCCTGCTTTATGTGTAGATGAAAAAGCTAAATTTCGAAGAATCAAAAGTGCTTGACGTTGTAAAACAGACGATGATGATGAATGAGCAATACGTATAAGAATAGCAAACATTTCTAAATATATTCAATGAAACAAAATCATTATAGATTTATTTTGTTTTTACCAGCATTTTTAAGTATACTAGTTTGTCCATCATTAAAAAATGTTATATTTATAATCACATCAAGAAAACGTCGATCATATCGATTTATATCACGTGATACACGTTCAAAATGATCAATAAATATTTGATAAAAATTTGATTTATAAACAATACTTCTTCCTTCAATTTCAGTTGAACAATTTTGTATGATATCAAATGCTATTTCAATTGTTTGATTTTTACTTGATGTACTATTATTAACTACAGATGATAACGCAGCTTTTGTTATAAGTCGAAGAACATAAGACAATAGATTTGATAATGGACGTTGTTGATCAGGTGTTTGAACAACAAATGAATTTGCCGATGGAAGAACTGTACTACATACACTAACACAACCTATTGAAATATATATAGAAAGCATGAAAATTCTTAATATGAAAAATAAAGAATGAATCTTTGCGATGTTTAGCAGTCAGTGTTGTTAAAAGAAGAAGAATAACATTTAATAATTGAACATCTACGATAGCCCAACACCAAAGTTGATGAAGAAATGGAACTAAACCATTTGCAGCAAGAATATCCTGAGTAAAAAAACACGTGTTATCTTTATATCGTACGTATAGATTTCAATTAAAAAACTTACTTTAGCAGAAGAACAATCATATGCAAGATTGTTAAGAATTGACGATACTTGAACACATTCATCAATTAGTGTATCATCCTAAATCAATAATTCAAAAATAATTAGCATTAATAAATGATTTACCTTGCTAACACATTTATCTGATTGAAGTGAGAAGAGAGTTAATTTTGTTTGAATACGTTTAAGATGATCAATTTGAGATTCAATAAAACCTTCTAGAAAAATTAAAAAAAGAGAAATTATCATTGATTATAAAATTATGTTTTCTTACTTTCAATAGCTTCTTGTTTAGCTGTTATACTTATATTTAATAATGATTTAATCATATTTGATACAGTTAATTTTAATGTATCATTCGATTCTGTATTCAGTCGATTTTCATATAATATTAACAATTGATCAAATATTTTTATTCCATTTTTATCCGATGATTGATCAAAAAAATCTTTCCACATATTTTTTTCTTGATCTAATGTACATTGTGCAATTGAAAGTGATAATAATTGAAGTATTATAGAAATAGCAACACTAATCGAACCATTAATCATTGTATGCAATGGTAAAGTAAGTATATCTTTAGAAAAGAAAAATAATATTTAGATTTCAAAAAAAAAATAGAAGTTTACTAAAAAGTGCTGAAGCATGTTGAACAATAGTATTATTTATTAATTGATGTAATGATGAGCATTGTTGAAGAAAAATATGAATAATTAAATGAGTAAGATTAATTTTGACTTGCCAGAAATTTTCCGATTGATTCGATTTATTTTCTGGAAAATAAGCAAGTAAAGAAATTAATTGAATCAAATTTTCATTATTAAATATTTCAGTGATAATATCTGTATTTGATTCAAATATAAGTCGTAAATATTGAGCAATTTTTGTATAAATATAAAACATATTATCAAGAAATAAGCGATATTCTTGTGGTGTTACATTCGTATTCATTTTAGATTTTAATGGACGAACATCAAAAAACTAAATAAAACAAAATGATTTTTCAATTCTTTTAATCAGATAAAAATATAAAATCTACGAAAGAAGTAATTTGATTAAATCTGTTGTATCATTATGAATTTCAAGCATATTTAAATTAAATAAAAATGAACATAAAGGAAGTGGCGCTTTTTCCATGGGCTACACCCTCCCTCCCGCGAGATTTTTTTTCTTCCAATTATTTTTTGGTAGAGACTCATGTGAGGATACATGATCATCATACCAGAACGTGGAGTTTTTCGGTCTTAGAGAAAAAAATCAATGGTTTAAGGATTAGGTCATGCTCGATAAAATCTTGACTATTTTATTATACCATACTCTATATCTCAGCTATAGTTGCATGAATAAGTACCAAATTTTTACTGCATATACAACCACTTATTCTCTACAAAATAAAATTAAAACCATCATATTCAATTACTCTATTGACGAGCACTGTCTATCATAAAAACTTGTTTTTTAACCCTAATTTTTGAGTGCATGATAAAGACTGTTTAATCTATAGCTCTACAAAGGTTCCGAATTGAGGGTGCGGGGTAGGTGTTGGTGTGGGGGCCCATTTTAAATAAGCAAAGGGCACTAACACTCACACACTGTTGTTTTATTGTTGTATATGATAATGAACTTATTATTGTGGATCGAGTAAAGTTCAATATTTATTTTAAGTTAAAAAAGAAAGTTTTGTTTTATTTATACTGATAATATTTTTTTGATAGGTATACATCCAACACGTAAGTGAAGTAACTAGCCGATTCGAATATTTCCACCGGCGATTCGTCTACGATGTGTCCCAGACGAGTTCCAAGTGCAACTCGACGATCTCTACCGAATGGTGTGCTCAGATTTTTCGTAGCTTAAAGTAAAATGATTCCGGTTTTGGTGGCGCCATCTCTCGACTAAAACATTTATTTTGAGTTACGAAAAACCTGAGCACACCATTCTATAGAACTAGTTGGGTTGTGCTTGGAAGAAGTATTGAAACGCGTCATAGGCGAATCGCTGACAACTTCACTTATGTACATCCAACAGCACCAGCAATGATAAACTGTGGTATAACTAAAGTAAGCTCATTTTTGTAAATTAATGTCTTACTAAATGATTTTATTTTAGGATGATCTTATTAATTTACAATTCAATATAATATTTGGTCAACATTATGCTTCATTTAAACATCTGTTCAACATAAATAATGACTACAAGAACAATAAAGTCATTTACCATATGGTTTATTCGTTATTTTGTATCTGGTACACTTTGCCGACAATCAGTTTGTCGACGCGATTTTACCGACAGGTACTTTTTGCCTGCAATTGCAATTTACTTACATTTTGCTGACAATTTGTTTTGTCATCATAATTAGGTGTACGTGTAATGATATTAAACATCCGCACCCACACCAACAATCAATTCAATTGAATACACCCACGAGTTTGGCATTTGACAACGAAGGAAGTTTATATGTTGCTGACTCATACAATGGTCGAGTCCAAAAATACGAAAAACTTTAAAATTAAAAATTGTTATTTAATTTGTTAAAGTTTTGTTTTTTGTTTTTGAAAAATAAACAAGAAGATATTAGTTTATGAAAAATCTTCAACAAAAATAAATAAAAATAAATTAAAAAGTTTCTATTAATAAGATAAATAAATTTGCTTTTAATTTTTAGAAAAAAATAGTAAATAGATATTTGCTATTTTTAATTTTAAACTGAAAAGTCAAAATGAATAAAATTAAAAGAATTTGAAAGGCAATTGAATTAGGAAAAACTTAGTTTTATAGAATAACGAAATCAAATATTTTTCACATTTACAAAAAAACCATGTAAATTAAGGGAAACACCTTTAAATGTAGATAAATAATTTTTTATTAGATTTCTCTTCGAAAAGAAAAATATTTCTGATGAAATCATTTTTATTTTTTTGATTTTCTTGTTTCTTGAAAGACACAGGATGAAGATGAATGAACATGAATGGAATTTATAGAAATAAAAATTATTTTAAGAAAATTTATTTTTTAAGAGAAAAAGCATCTTGAAGGTGTGAGTGTGAGTGCACCCAAAGAAGACACACCCACACGCACACCCTCAATTACCTGCAGATGCATAGAAAGATGTTATCAACCAAAATGAAGAAACAGTAATTGGACGAATGAGAAAAATAACAAATATTGATTATGATAACATGTATGTTTATCCCAATAATTATGAATTCGATTTGGAAAAAATATCGCCTACATTAATTCTTCCTGAAGCATCAGTTAAAATGGCATCGGAAACGGATCTGGTACACTTTGCCGACAATCTGTAAAGACAAAAGTGACAAAATTAATTTTTCAGAATTTATGGCTGCTGTTGCTGCTATAAATTCAAGTGATTGCGAAACACGACTACATCTGATTTGTGATAATAATTTTTTTGAAAACAATTTAACATGTTTTTCTTTATATTCAGATATTTTCTGTTTGTGTAAAGATTCACTTTTTTTTCATTTTCTCTTAATGTTTATTATTATATTTTTGTGAATAGATGGAACTATTTACTGATAAATGACGAAGATATTAGATAATGTTGGTATCTCTCATCTACTATTTTCCTTTTCTTTTTTCCTCTGCATATCTTTTAATTCATTATTTGTATAAATTAGCTGTTAACTTTGATCTTTATTAAATTGAAATAAAGAGAAACAAAAAAAACATTAGTTTATACATTA